AAGGGCGTGGTGGCGTACGTGCTTCATTTGAATGTGGCGGTGGTGGCGCTTGAGGTGGGACATTTACGTCTTCAGAGAATTGTGACGGTTTTTTCCCCGCACAAAATAGGATGACGGCTGGAACGGAAATACTGCAAGATTCAATGATTTCTATGAAGAACAACGACTTTTTAGTAAAACAAATATTTTGTGGAATTTCAAAGAAGGTGGAGCTCAAAGAGAAAGATTAGCTTCCATTTTCACTTTTTTCCTTTCGCTTGTTAGAGATTCTTCTATAGACGGAATTTAAACAGTAAGGAAGTAGTAAAACGAATCTTGCGATGATGGATGGTGCCAGCCCAGGGTAATGAAGCACGCAGTCACGACCTCCTCATTTTCGCGATATGGGGTTAACCGCTCTCCTAGTGCGAGGCAAGTCTCCCAGCCACGAAACATCATAGAACAATTAATAAACCATCATAAGTTCATCAGGTTAATAATATCATAAATTGCTATGTTGGTCATGGCCTCAGGCGAAACCTAGCTCTTAATGTCCCTTATTCACGAATACAAGGGCTTCAAGTGCTACCTGATGTCGTTCCAACCAACGATTGAAAAAGCTGTTTAGGGGGTTCAAATTCTGCTTTCAATTCGCTCTCACAGATTGTTGAGTTGATTACTTGCAAAATGCGTACTCATTTTCTTAGTCGGGGTAATTTTCTTTCCCTGAGGTTGTCGATATTCCTCTTAACCAAAAATTAATAAAAACAAGGAAAGTAGAAGTGAAAACAAACGACTCGTTCCTCCCGGAGTTATTCCAATGTCGTCGCGGGTTCCGCTGTGATGTATGTCTCCGGGTTCTCATATGAAGGTGCAGCATCGGGTCGCGGTGTCAGACAACTCCTACCTACTTTTCCCAACGTTTCACGTTTTTTGAAAAACCGAAAAAATCTGGAATCTCCTACAATAGACACCCTTGATCGCACTCTCCTAACAATGCTATACCCTGTCTCTTGATCAGGGCTTCTTCTACCGTGGCCTTGTCTTTATGTGAAATAAAAGGAAATCGTAAATATTATAAATGAGATAAATGCATTGCTTATGCATTTGGCTAAATCAGAATCGATTCGAAGAAATGCTTGATTTCCAGGAATGAGACTTAAAGTCTCACATGCTCGTTCGCCACGTCATCTGGACTCCGTTACAGCTGTTGGATGGGCTAGTGGAGATGAAATTTTCTCCTGTGCTGATGATCATATATTATTGAAGTAAGGTTTGAAGTGGTTACATCTAGGACATCCAAGCCTTTGTCACGTCCGGTGGTCGACTTAATTGGCAATGAACGCAGAGACATCCAAGCCTTTCACTCCGTGGTCGCTTAATTGGCATCGAAGGGCAGAAACCCAAAGAATCAGACTGGCAGACTTCTGAAGCACTGTATAGGTCAAAACCTTATCAAACGGCTCCGGGTTCGAACGGGTGTGTGACGCATCCTGAAAAGGGATAAACGTGCAGCACTCTGTTTCCCAAAATTTTTCTCTACGTACTCGGGAGGAGATACTTCGGGATTCGCTTTCGTTAAGGAGAAAGAGAGATCCAGTGTGAGAAGCAGAAAGAAAAATAGCATATAGTGGAACCATTGAGTCTTTTTTAACCCCCTCCACATCTTCGAAAATTCTTTAATTCCCTCTCGTTCCACTTACTAGAAGCAACTTCAGTGATTTCAGATGGAAACTCGCATCTATGGATGCAACAACTGTGACAGAAATGCCAAGGTGACTGAAAAGAATATTCATTTGTTTGTTTTTTCTTCGATTAATTCTGAACAACGTACCCTTTCCCGAAAAAGTCAAAAATACAATGAATAGAAAGCAAGGATTTGCTCCGGAAATGAAGGGTAACGGTTATAGCCGATCATCTTCCTATTAAGAAATAGGAAATTGCAGCTTTAATTTTACTGTTTTCGTCTTGATTTTTCTCCCATTTTTGCAGCACTTTCTTTGCAACTTCTATGCATTGGTTTCCTTCTTCAGTCCGCCACGATACTCATGGAGATGTATTCGCGTTATCCAGCTCAGATGGCAAGTCAAACCTCCTCGTCTAACGGCATTCTACCACAACTAATTTTTTAGGACAAATCCATTTTGTTAATAAAATGGGTCGAATGGAAAAATCTGTCAGTGCCCATAAAGGAGCTGCACTTATGGTTCGATGGAGCGCTGACGGCACTGGACTGCTGAGCTGTTGGGTTTTTTCCAAGTAGTGTATTTGATAGGGGAGAGTATGTTCGTAGAGGAGCACGGCAAATCTTTGAAATTGAAGGCAGTTCGGTTCAGTTCGCATAGAGGCAGATGGTTAACAGTGCTTTACTCATCGTTCTCCTGTTTATCATCTTCGAGTGAGAGTAGATCAATGAGGAAACAGTAGCTGACGATCTCCGCCCATATATCCACTCATGCGACCGGCGCGAACATTGTCTTTTTTGCCAGCTTCTTGTTCCATTTACAACCTGTGAATTCTCTGAAGTAAGTATGTCGTGTAAAATTTATAGAAGTCAAAGTTTTTTGTAGGTGGAGAGGATGGTACTGTGAAATTGTGGTCTCGGAATGGAATGCTTCGTTCAGTTATCGCGCAGATGCCACATCCTGTACATTGGTTTGTACCTGATTCCTTGAAAGAAATTCGGTTCAGGCTAATTCCCATTTTTCGGTAGCATTGTACCAGCGCAAGACACTCGTGGTCATCTTGCTCCTTGAAGGGCCGTTCCGCGAGAAACTAGTCCAAAACATCTTGATTGTGCCGAATCGCGCTGCAACGGCTTTACTGAATTCTAAATTGGTAGAATTCTAATTTAGAGGCACGGTCCGCGATAAAAAGCTTAGGTGATGTTTCAAAAATGTGGAAGAAAATTCGCCATGTGAAGTTCTCCAGCCTCAAACACCGTAGAGGTAATAGAACGATAAGACCGGGCGCTGGGACGATTCCCGTCGGCTGAAACCCAGTAATGAACCTTATGACTCTACAACAGACACTAATGGTAATACTTGCCCGGAAGCATTACTTTTGGCTGGAAGGCCGACTTTGGAGGCGGAGTCTGGAGGCGGAGTCACTGGAAAAGGGATGTACCACTGAAGCAACTTTGCGCCTTAATCCCTTTACCGTACAACTTTCCGCCGCGAAACTGGCACAGGGTTGTCCACTCCGGACCGCACTACCTTCCCACATAACCTGTTGCATTCGTAGATCATCGCGGACCGTTCCTTTAAACTTAACAGTGAGACCCATGAGCACTCAAAAGGTTATGATCTGACCGCCGCCTTTCAAAGACATTCAGGGCTTTTACAAAAGAATTCTTTATTTGCATGGAATCTTTTTTTTGCAATGCGCAAGAACCAGGACTTTTATGGAAGTACTTTTATTTCTGAGAATTCTGTGATTATTCTTCTATGTACTTTCACTATTTCTTCGAAAATTATCTCGCCAATACGAGAGTAGCACTCTTTCAGCTGCTCATTCGACTCCACTTCCAACTACGTTGTTTTTCCCAATTATGATCATTGTTACATAAGGTCCTTGAAGTCTCAGGTAAGAAGAATGCAGCATTACATTTCCATCGTTTTTCTGCCAATATGTGCGTGATTGTTTTATCACTCGGTTACTCGTCGGTTTTTTTATGTTCAATTTTCGAAACAAAACCCCATAACATTTATGTAGCGCTAATCAACTTAAGAGATTTGAGCTTTAACGCTGGAAGACACATTCGGCGATAACGGTATAGCCAGGAAAATAGGTGTAGACGTGCAGCTATCTAGATAGATCTAGATCTGATTCGAGGCCCTCGCCTGTTTTGTTTTCTGAGTGGTGTTCGAGGTCTCCGCCTATTCTCGCGAAGTTTGATCATCGCAGAAACCATCTTCAAAAGTAAATTTTCTAGGCGGCTCCACTGAAATGGAAGGCACACGATGGTCTTGTGTTATGCTGCGATTGGTCCAAAGCGGCTGAGTATATCGTTACTGGAGGGGAAGATTGCAAATTCAAAGTAAGACAACTTCATAGACTTCCAATAATAATATTATCATAATACATTATATTTATTTGCACATATAACATTTAAACTGAACGTTCGACTGGATCTAGTTTTGAACTGGCTCTTAACCACAAA